TTATTGAATAGCTTGTATCTAAATAAGTGTTAAAAGTCAAGATCTATGAATCTGGTTGTAAAATATATTTAATGAGCACTTTATCAATTATTCAAATAATTATATAGGCGGGCTTGGTAGAAGTAAGTGTTAAATCAAGATCTATTTGCAAATCAAGTTTTCAAAATGAACGTTATAGACGGGTTTGATTGAAGTAAGTATTAAAGTAGTTGAGATCTATTTAATTAATGTTTTATTTTTATCAATTATCAAATAATTATATAGGCGGGTTTGATCAAAATGAATGTTAATCAAGATCTATGAAGTCTGCAAAATGAATGCTTATCAATTATTCAATAATTATATAGGCGGGTTTGATCGGTCAAGATCTATACAATTAGATTGTTAATAGTTAATAATGGAATAAATTTTGTTTTGTTAAATAAGTTTACATGTGTATAATGTTTTTTTTTTCCTTACTAGCCATGTAACAGCATAGTGGACAACAACCACAACCACAACCACAACCACAACCACAACAACAACAACAACAACAACAACAACAACAACAACAACAACTAGCACAACAACAACAACAACAACAACAACTAAAACAACAACAACAACAACAACTAAAACAACAACTAGCACAACAACAAGCACAATTATTACTACTACAACAACAACTACCAACACAATCATCATCATCATCTTCTTCTTCTTCTTCATCACCATCATCATCACAATGGCAACAACATGATTGTGTTCTTTTTCCTTTTCTTCCTGATCCTCCTCACCATAATAATAATAATAATAATAATAATAATAATAATAATAGAAAAGAAAAAAACAAAGAAACATTAACACAACAATATCAACAATATCAACACCACCACTACCAATATATCCAGTATCTAGCAAGGTGGTGACTGATGAGTAATTATTATAAGTTTTATTAAATTCTTGAGTATATTTACCAATGATTTTTATTTTTGTCTAACATTATCTTTACCTCTTTATATTTATAAAGTGCACATACTCATATAACACTGATTATACCAACAATAACAGTGGAAGATGAGATTACTCTTTATTATGATGGAGGAGGTAACCTTGAAGTAGTAGCATGAGTAAAAGAAATTGATGGTAATGATATAGATAATTTGTCAGTTGGGCAAATATTTATAATAATCAAGTTACTAAGGTAAGGTTTTTAAATTTAAATTTTAAATATATTTAATTAAATAACAATATAATTTTATTAATTTATGATTACTTTATTTAATTAAAAAAGTACTATTGATGGAGAGTGTAAGGCTGATGTTAAAGTTTCAGGAGGTGGTGTGGTATTTATTAAACTTCAAAATAAAAAACGTAAAAGAAAAATGATAGAAATTAATAAAATTAATGAATAAATATTTTTATATTAAAGCTCGTTACAGTGAACCCCTTGGTTCCTGATTTTGTTCACTGTAACAAATGTTCACTGTAATGAAAGATCTCTTTATAGTGAACATATTATATAATTTAGTGTAAAGTTCACTATAACGAGAGT